ACGTGCGTTGATGTCTCAGGCACAAGGGGGACCGTCCCGGAGCACTCGGCAGCGTCTCGTCTTGGCGATGCCACAGCAGCCTGGGGACGTCCTGCCAACAGGCTTCTTTCCTGGAAGGGAAAAAACAGACAAACTCCCTGCTTTCACGAGCCCTTCCCTGAACCCATCTGCACGCTGCTGCTGAAACTGAATATCATGAATGAACTGGGCAAAGGCACCATGAATGAGTAATTCTTAAAGTTAAAAGTCAGCCTTCTAGCCAAGCCCAAAATAATTGCCAGCCCCATAACCCAGACAACCAACCTTGTGACACTCGGGACGTCCTTCCCCGCAGAATTTAGTCTCAAGGGACATCTGCACCATACTGAGAGCTCACGGCCACCACGGCTTCTCCTAGAAGATGCCCAGGAGCTGATGTTTCATCGTCCACATGCTCAGGATGCCCTGAGGAAATTTGCTGCTAAGAGCACTTTGGCAATAAACCCAACTGGCTGCCCCCAACCAGCTCTTCATGGTCAAGACGGAGCAGTGTGAATGGATCCAGCAGACGGATCTAGAGGCCATCTAGGAGGACATTACTCCTGTCTAACTAGCTGACTGCAGCTTGCCAAGGGAGCGGATAGATATTTTCCTCCCCTTTAAATGACAAATGACATTTGACTGCCAGAAATGTTAAAAATGATTTGGTCTGTGTCATGCTGCTGAAGCCAATTTTATGGATTATCTGTTGTGTAATTAAAGAGAAAAGAGCCCTTCCTGGAGCCTTTTGGGTGCAGGTATGTGCTTGATACAGAATTTAACCCAATAATATCAGCTGGAGAAACCTCAAAGATAAAAACCTTCATGCAACTTTCAGTACAAGCAAAAGCTCCCCAAACTGAGCAGTTGTAGCACGATTAGTGCCCTGATCTGCATCTCAGCACCCAGATCTGGGCTCGGGGAGGAGGGGAGAGACCACAACTATGAACAGGAACGTACTGAGTAAACATTTCCTTCCTCTGAATGCGATAACTCCGTCGAGGCTGTTGTGTGTTGCTATCAGACGCGCAGCTGTTACCTTAAACACTGCTAGTTGTGAGTTAGTAGAGTCTGTTACAGTAATAGATAATGATTATTATAATAATACCCCCCCCCCCCAAAGAAATTAACAACAAACCAAACACAAAAGCAGCTGGGACCCTGAATTTTACAGTATTACAGGTACAAATTTTTAAAGCTAGCTAGGTAAGGTGGCCAAAGCCCTGCTCATGGGTGAAGATAGGAAAGGATTTACCATGGTCAGGTGATTATAGAAGTGCAATTGTATAGAAAACTCCTGGTCTTCAAGCACAGAAGCCAGGGTTTTCGCAAACCGAGCCCAATCCATCAGGAGAGAGCCTGGGGTTGACTAAACTATAAGATGGCATTTGACCTTTAGTTGGCTGAATTAGACAACGTACACAAGAATAAAACCGAGCCGCCCAGTAGAAAAGGTTGTACAAAAAGCTTTAGAGTTGCCAAAGGAGGGGGGTTGTTTGCTTCTTCCTTTCCTGTTTAACTGGTAGATCAACAATCTAGCAGGCACGTAGAAAACAGTTTGGGTTTTTTTCGTGTAACTTGCCTAATACTCTTCGGTTTTAGGCTAGTAGGGTCAAGAAATGCCATGAAATCTGGAAGGTTTTTGGACTGCTTTTGCCAAAGTGAATGATGCCCGACTCATTTGTAGCTTCCAACCCACCACCTTGTTTTCGTAGCGAGGTCAGAGCTTCTCTCCATTAGCTGAGGAAGGACAATTTCTCCCTCATCAGGACCACGTGCATCAGGATTCACATGCACAACCTCCACTTCACAACTTACACAGCAACTTGGCTTCCTGCCCGTTCTCCCAAAAGCTTCAAACCCAGAGGAGACTCACGGACTTCACATGCACAACCTCCACTTCACTGACAACTTACACAGCGACTTGGTTTCCTGCCCGTTCTCCCGAAAGCTTCAAACCCAGAGGAGACTCACGGAAGGGATGGTCCTCCGAGCAAGGACAGAGCAGATCTCCCTTCTCCTCCCCAACCCTGACGCAATGGATTCCCCTCTCTAACGCTACTCAGGTAGCCTAAGCAGATCGTGTCACCAGTGATCAGCATTCAGAGCAACAATATGGGCACATTAAGGCTAAGACCCAACCCCACACCCAAAAACCAGGGAGACACCATCTGCCTAAATGGTGTGGCCAGAACAACAAGAAAGAGCAACTGAGGGTGCAGAAAGACATCACGTCTGGTCTGAAGGGGACAGTCCTGTCCCTCCTCTGCTCCACCCTACGACTGCACGTTCCCAGTGTCTCCTCCAGGCTGTACCTATTGTGACTGTAGAAGTCGAGTTGGCAAGAGCCCTCCATTAGGTGGGATTCAGCATGACGTTGCAGCATGACACATCCCTTCTTTCACCAAGCACAGATTTAAACAACCGTCTACTTAATACAATAAATAAAATAATATTCTTTTTATTGCACCTCACGGAGAACGTTGTAAAACATGCACGTTAGGTCTGATGACCACACCAAGACCCACTGGCCAAACGTCACCACGCGGCAGCTATCGCGTAAAACAAATACAACTACAGCCTGTATTTACTGTTTTAATTTTTTTTTTTTATTACGCATAATAAATCTTTCACACAAAGTAATGAAAAGGATCCCTAAGGTGATACTTTACAGATCTGAAGGAAAACAGAGTATTTGTGACCGTGCCAGACTGCAGACTTCAGGACACTGCGAGACCCACATAATGCTCAAACTTTTGGAAGAGCCAATGGGGCTAGCATGGATTTCAGCATAAATCTTGGTCTGGCTCTGCTGTTTCAGCTTTGGATTGTAACTCCAGCTGTTCTAAACCAGCTGGGCCCTGGGAGCATTGCATATTAATTAAATGCACAAGGAAATTATGCGATCGGAACAAACCTGTTCCTTCTGTACTTCAATTCAATGTCATCACAACGAGAGGACAGCGAGAAATAATTTACTGTGCGACTCCTACATTGATTCAGCAGCTGGTTTGACCTATTCTATCAGATTGCTGCTTTATGTACCCTTTATAAAAAGCCCTTTCAAAGAAAAATCAGGTTCTCTCCAGTTTGACACCCGGCTGATAAGCATCTGCTCTGGCTGAGCCCTCTTTCATGAAGTGCTCCACTTCTGCTGCAGGCAGCGGGGTGGAGGGTGCTCACCTCGGGCAGGTTCAAGTGCTCGCGGGTGGTTAAGACAGATGAGAACGGAGCCATCCCAGTAGCTTCAGAATCCACGGTTTAAAAGTGCATCTTCAGACTGACCTTTCCAAAGGCTGGGCAGCTCTGCTGACTCACAAGTACTCTTAGCCTTTTAATAAAGACAAAATTACAAATCACTACAATAACCAAGAAGAGTCATTCCCCTGTGACGTTTGCTCAAAGACCAAAAAAAAAAAAAAAATCCAAAACACAGTATAAACTTATGTGCAGCTCAGTCATGGTTCATTCATTTCTCGTATTTTCCTAAGAAAAAACTGCATCTCCAGTCTTACTATTGCCTTTTCTCAAAAGCTTCTGCCATTTTAAAGTCCTAAATGCTCCTGGGCTGTATACGTCGCTTTGTAGCTATATTTAAATAAATTTGGAAAGCTTTTTTTTTTTTAAAGCCAGCGTTTCCATTTGTGTAGGACTCAAATGGACTTCCACCTCTAAATAAGCAGATAAAAAGAAAGTACAATCCTAGCACTCCTTCAGGGAGAAAAATGGGTGCAAGAAATTCTATTTAAAGCCACTCGAAAGACTGTCTGAAAGCAAATGCACTCAATTCTTCAGGTCAGTAACCAGAACATGCTGGAGCAGGCAGCGAATACAAGGGGTTGCCATGTATGTTTAGGAACTAATTCCTTGATATTTATGTTTTGGCATGCAATGCATTGGTGACAGCCCTCCACATAGCAGCATGTGGGATTAGTGTCTGCATGCGTGTGCAACGGGCACCGTCAGGAGCCTCCCACAGAAGAAATGATCCTCATTTTGAAAAATGAGATGTTCTTTCAAAATCAGGTCAAGCCACTTCTTTTGTTCTTCCAACTCCAGAAACAGGTATATCAGGAAAGGACACTTTAAAACAACAAAAAAGAGAAGTATTCTACATTCAGATAAATTCTTACTTCTGCCTTAAAACCTTTAATAGCAAACAGGGGATTTTCAACACAGAACTCTGCCAAGGATCCCCACGACACACTGTCACCATTACACACAGTTTTACAGGACATTGGTCTATTTTATAATCTTATAACTACTTTCTTTGGAGATTTCTTTTTTTCCCCCCACACACTGAATTTCCAGGAACAACTTTTGCACAGAAGCACAGTAAAACAAGCCTGTAAGGGACCTGACTCTGAAAGCTGGTGTTTCTAGCCCTCTATAGAGTATTTGCCAGTCAAACAACAACAAAAAAAGACTTGCTATTGAAAATCCTCCCACAAACATTTTGACATCTAAATCAAGTGTTTTGAATCCGCCTGGGAGCTAATCTGATTAATATGCTGCTTGCTTAGTTCACTCGGATGACAGTATAGACACCAATTTAACGACTACAGCCTTGACAGTGCCACCGAAATGAAGGGCTGTGAGTGAAAGCACGGGATTAGGTAACGAGCAACCCACGGCGGAATCCAACAGACCATAGAAAGCTTGACCCAACGAAGCTGCCTTGCTTGAAAGAAACAAAAATACAAACGCTGCTTCTAAATCAAAGTCCGCAATCTCTTTCCTCATTTACCCCGTTAAGTTAAAAGAACAATCAGGTTTGTGGTTGGTAGTAACATTATACCCCATGTGTAAGGCCTCATTTCATCAAACAAGCTCTAGGTTATAGGACTATAAATACAAGGTTGCCTACAAGCCGTCAGTTCCTCACACCACAGTCTGTTGCCAGCGTGTCGGTGGCAATCTGCTTCCAAAACATGGACATTGGACTGTACACTAACGGCAAGCTTCATTCTCCATAAGCTTTGGGGTCAGAGGGTGCACGCTGGAAGGGGTCACGTATTAACACGCGGTGCGGAGTTTTGTTTTCTGTAAGAAGATGGAGTTGAGTTGGCCTGGCTGGGGCATCTCCTTCAGCCGGAGTCCATAGTGAAGAGCTGGATGTCATGCGGGTTCCAGTACAGAGCCACAGCGGAGTTGTAGACCAAGGACCAAACGTAGGGGATGAAGAACTCCTCAGGTTGCTCCTCCTCCACATACTTGAACTTCAGCTCGGGGAATTTCTGCAACAAGAAACCAAAGTCCGCTAAGGGAAGGCTTGCATGTCTCTTTGCAAACATGCAGCCCACGTAAACACTGAAGAAAGAGGTCTGGTGAAAAAAATAATGGAAGGAACCGAACCATTAGACCCGAAGGAAAATATTTACAGGATAAAGAGATCATTTATAATTTCTTCTTTGAACTGAATGCTACGTTGGCATGTTGTATTCAACCGTTTTACCGTTGGTCACACTCAATTTGCCTGTTAACAAAGACTAAACATGTGAATCCTTTACAAAACACAAAGGTCTTAAAGAAAACTGTCATTTTTAGTAGCCCCACAAAAGCCTTCTTGCTTGCACACGTACAGACCTGTTTATTGCAGTTTTCCCTAAAAAGCACTTTGCTATTAATTGTACTCAGCTCCATAGCAGGAGAATCCTTTGGGAAGGTCGTAAGAATACACAGTCTGTGATACGTTTTCAGGAACCCAGTGTTATGGCAAACGGACTAATTCTCAAAGACTTTATGTATGTAGAAGTTTCCAGGAGAGAAATGCTCCTCCTCCAGGAAGCATGGTGGGAAGCGTGTCTAGGCTCCGTGGGTGGGCTCCTGGGGTCCAGGAGGCCACTTCCAGTTTTGCTACAGGTTTCTCTGTACTTTTGGGTAGGTCATTACCTCTGTGCCTTGGCTTTCCCGTTGCTGAGGAGCACACAGAATGACTCTAATGGCATCACTGCGGCAATCAGAGTGCAAAACCCTGCAAGCTCCTCAACTGCAACGTGTCATGCATCTATCCCACTTCAGCCTCTAAGGCTGTAGCCGCAAGACCTATGCACATAGGCACAGGCTATTGCCCGTCCACGCAGATACCTCCCCCTCCTGGAAATTACAGGCTAGACAATATCGTTTCCACAAAAGCCCTGTTTTTCAGTACCAGCAAAGTACTTTCAGAATTAACACGCATCAGATGAGCTAGCCCAGCCCATCCTAACTGGATAGACATGCTACTTCCTCAATTTTCCAATTTTCTCTCACTTCTTCCCTCCCAAAGCAGCACATACACTGCAAACCCACTGCTTTTGCTTTCGGTAAGCGTGTGTTTTGGGGAAGAGCTGAGCCTACTTTTGTACTGTGCTCTTCAATCATTTTATCTACTTCTAAACGTTGCCTGTGTCAAGAGCTTGGCAGAGTCTCAGATAAAAGCCGCATTACAATGATCACTGGGGTAAGATAAAACATGACCCATTTTATTATTTATAAGGCTGTGGCTAAGACTAAGAATAAACTCCATGGTGTGACATGATCAGAACAAGCACAGCAATGGCTAAGAAGCCTCTTTGCCCATTAATAATGACGGGATACCCTTCATCTTTCTTGAGCTCAGAGTGTCCTGTTTCCTTGCGTTAGGGCACAAGACCCTTCTGGCTGGAACAGTCTCCTTTGAAGTGGCACTTCGTGGCCACTTGGCTTTCAGTGGCCAAGTTATACACGCTCAGGTTATTTCTATTCTTGGAGTCATAAACCATGGAAACTATTCTACTCCTTCCTTGTGTTGCTGCTGTTGCTAGAGCAGTTTGGTGTAAGTACTGAGCGTACAATTACACCAAGTCATAAAGGTGCCACCTGCATTGTGCTTTACGAGGAACATGTCTCCATGGACAGCTTCATTCAACCACATGCTATCTCCTATGTTGGGCTCTGAGCAACCTGATCTAGTTGAAGATGTCCCTGTTCATTGCAGGGGGGTTGGACTATATGACCTTGAAAGGTCCCTTCCAACCCAAACCGTTCTATGATTCTGTGATTGATGAGGACATCGGTGTCACCCTCCAGTAGCTCCAACATTCTGGAGCTGCTGTGGTTTGGCTTATGTTGGGGTCAGGTCCTTCACCACAGCTCTACTTAGCTGGATGCCAATATTTAGCCTGGGAGGGACCATTTTCGCCATCGGTGTGGCTGTCATTGTACTTGATGACTTCAGAACATGTGGGGAGCTCATCCTTATAGCAGTCAGGGAGGGAAGGAGGACAGTATTGTTTCCAGCACTATTACTTCTGCTTAAGGAACTAAGGCAGCTACAAGATAAGATTGTTAAAAGCACTTCTGCATCTAACTTCTGTTGAGTTCAAAGCTCAGAACCTCAAAGGTACATCAGCAATTTTCATTTCCTGCGTCAGACATGCAGTTTGTGGTAGAGAAGCTCTCCCATAGCCCTTTTGTGCCCCTAAACCATTTTCTATCACCTCTCTACAAGCTCTCTCCCCAAGTCTGTTGTGACCAGCCTGCTTCATCTTCCACATCATTTTGCTTCCTCGCTTTTAGTTGTCTTGCACCTATATTCACCCCCATCTCGTAATATCCTGTCTCCTAGTCTCCCATCCCCAACTCCCTTCCACTGTACCTTCATGGTCTCCCTTCAGCATATCTTTCTGTTTTGTACTTGCACAAGTTTTCTTTTTTCTCATCAGCCTTGTGAGATCCTCCTTTTCATTAACATCCTCTATCCCTTCCCATCTCGGCTCCAAGTCCTCAAGCCGTGCCTGCCTTCCCTCTCTGCCACCCCATCCCTCCTCTCAGGACACCACGATTCTTTCAGCAGGTTAAGCCTCACTCCAATCAAGCCCTCACGTAGACATTAAATTTTTTTTTTCTTTTTTTTAAAACTGATATTCTACTCTGCTTATCCTCAGTGTAATCTTCCCCACTTCCCTCCTAAATGCTTCCTGACTTGTGGTCAGTGTAGACAGGAACACGTTCAGTTCAGCATTGCATCAGCAGAATGAATGGTTAAACCTCATGATTAAACCACTGCAACATTTCCTAGCAGAGAAAAGCCCTTACACAGCTGTCATTCTTCACCCCAAAGGTGGCTGTATGCCAGTACTGCAGCGTGTAGTAGTCCTTCTGGGAGGGAAGGGGAAAAAAGTGATTAAAGATGCTAATTTGAGTTGAATTAAACACAGATAAGTTTTTTCACCTTCAGGGTCACAGATTATAGCTACTGTTTTTGCAGACACTCTGGGAGTCCAGAATGGTCCCACTAGTCTGGGACTATTCTGGACTCTCATGCAGCTTAATGAACATCTTAAGCTTTAAAACAGTAGGTAAAATTGTATTAGAAATTCCAATAGCTACATCTGAGATGCTCAGCTCTTACTATCCCATCATCTCTCAGCTGGAAGGACAGCATAAAATAAATCAGATAGCATTCATATTTTCAGGCAGTAACAGTCATGCATTGATTTTATTATTAAGCCTTTCTTCAGACTGATCAATGTTGCCATCTATTGTGATCGTACCATAGCAATTTAATAATCAATTTGAGATTAAAGACTGTAACTCACTGCAGTCAGCCTGGACTCTCTCACACTCAACATATGCCTTGAACAGTCTGCAGGTTTATCTTGGGAATGTAGACAAGGATAATGAGATTTTTAAGGGGAGATATAATATACGTTGCCATTACACACACGCAATTTCAAACGTATCTTTATAAAAAGGAGGTAAATTATGGCAGAAATTATCTTTTTCTGATGGTCCCCCTGAACAGGGGACCCAGGGTAGTGCCATGCATTGCTAACAAGACATGGAGAATTTGACTTCCAGGTCGGTAAATCAAAACTAACTTCTTTAGATGACTGCAATGATCCATGGCTGTGTGGTGGCCATGTTTTCTCATTCATTAAAAATGAGAAATCCTGGAGGCCCAGCATGGAGAGACCTTCTGCACCAGACTGTGTCTTGCAAGATTTACCACTGTTAAGATAAAAAACTACCCATACTGTTTCACTGTTAGAGTATTCACTGAAAACAAAATTTGTTCACATTCAAAATCATCAAGTTTAAGTCACCTCAAAATGTTTCTTATTTATCAGGCTGACTTTAACACAATTTATAACAGCAAGGGTTAAACACCATGTAAAAAACTAGACCAATGGCATAAAGCTTTAAGATTTTTGACAGGTGGTAGTTCAAGGAATGTTTAAGTTCAGCTCTGTGCCGTTTATCTCCTGCATGCTCTGCTTCCAAATGAGTGATCAGAAGCTTTTGCCATGTGCTGCAGACATACAGGAGATGACACCAAATGAATGTTTCAGGAGAGCTGTAAAACAACCAGGTCAGAGGAGTCTCAGGGCACTCCCAGAAAACACCCCAGCCAGCACCGGTGAGGGTTTTATCAAGGTTAACAAAATTCCCAAATTGGCATGTCGAAGCAGCAAGGTAGAAAACCATTTTCTTCTGCTTTGCTGCTGTTGGGTCCAAATTAATCCTGGAAAGGCATTTGCTCCCCAGCTGGTGACACCAAATGAACCTGATTTTTAGCACTTTCTGAAAAGAGGGACCACTCTAAGGCACCTTAAATGGCCTAAGAATAGAGGAAAAGTCTTGGCATGCGATAAATCATCCCTTTTTTTTCCTTCACAGCCCTATTCGTTCAGCTTGATGGTGTCGAAAGATGTACAAGTTCTTCACTACCCATGCGCTTCGCTATTTAAGTTTTTGAACTCATTGCCCTGACATAAATGGGTCCAGCGCAGCCATTATTTGCATTTCTCTCCAGTCATTACCAGAGCAGAGACAACCCCAGCTAGTTTAAACCAAACCAACCTGAGACAGTACTTGAAAACTTGAGAGCCGGAGGTAACACTAAGATTTGAACTGCACAGTTTAAATAGAGACACCACTTATCAGTTCTGGTCAATCAACCTACCACAGCACCCTATCTTGTTTTCTTCTGCCAGACAAAGCAGAAGTCAGATTTAGTGGTTGGGACGAGGGTATAAACTAGACAGACCAAGAACTTTGCAGACTGTCTGCCCTGTCAATCATATGATTCGATGAAAAACCACAGGAAGTCCGATGAACAGATGCAGAACTGAACTGCAATAACTCCCCTACCGCAAAAGTTCAACAACATCAGGGTTGTGTTTTTTTTTTTTTTGCAGTTAACGATTAGGAAGATAGCATCACAGCCAGCCAACAGCACCTGGCACGGCTCCAGGCAACTCAGTGGCATTTG